GTGTGTGTGTGTGTGTGTGTGTGTGTGTGTGTGTGTGTGTGTGTGTGCATCTGTGTGGCTCACTGACCAAATGCACCCTCGGCTGTGTGTGTGTCTGTGTGGGAACTCCTGGTCCCATCAGGTCTCTTGACATCTTTCCTGTTCGCTCCATCAGGCCAAATACCACGAGGAATTTGAGCGGACACGCGGCCGAGGCTTCACTCCGGGTTTGGACGACCCCAGCATGGAGCGCTACCAGAGAGCCAATCAGATGATAGGAGAGGCGGGCTACAACAAAGGGATCCACCCCCAGGTGATGGAGATGGACAGAAGACCAGGAGGCATCATCGTAGGTCAGTGAAACACAAAATAAAGACCATCCTTTTTTTTTTGCAGCGTTTTAAAGCTTTGGTTTTACTTTGTGTTGTTTTTTTTAATTATCCTTCAATGTTTTGCTGCTTTACTGTGATTCATGTCTGCAGGTAAAAAAGAAAATCACAACTCAAACTCAGAGTGTTTAGTTTGGGGTATTTTATCATAATAATCCATACGAATGTTGTAAAAATATTTTAGTTTGTGAAAATTCATCCTATTTCTTTCCTCCCACCTGAAGACCTAAAGGTTTGGAGAGCAGATCCAGGCTCTATCTTTGACTTTGACCCTGTGGAGGACAACATTCAGTCCAAAAGTCTCCGCAGGATGTCGGGTAGTTTACCTGAGACGTTTTTAATTAATAAATAAATATTCTGTAGGAACATCTGTTCTGGTACTAACAACTGAGGAGGAAGGAAGATCAGGTTTTAAAATAATTATTATTTTTTTTAATCTTTGTGTTTAAAAAACTTACACTTGTTTTGTATGTTAAATACGCATTTTATTATTTTTATAAACAGAAGTGTTTTGAAGCACAATGTGCACAGTTTTCAACTTGGTTCACATTTTTTTGCAATAATTAGGCCCAGCATAGTCCTGATTTATTTTGTTGAATGAGTCTGAATTCGTCTGGACTGTATTTGATTTATCTGCTTATTTTTTATTAAAACGTCATGTCAAAAATAACTTTACACTCTCCTACAGCAGTTAGTTGACGTTTCAGAACATTTCTGTCTTTATTAATCAGAACCAGACCTGTAGCTTCAGTGCCTGATCAGTTTTTCCTCATGTCAAAGAGTCAGGCATCATCAGCATAACGTGTGATATCACCTAACAGAAGCAGATACGTTAACCACTCTCACTGCTCTTTTTTTGTCTTTATCCTAAGTTAATTTTATTTCTGGACCATAAATGTTGTCTTTTGTTTCCTGTTCATGTTGGATGTGTCTCTGTCCTCTGTTGCCCCCTGGTGGTGGCGGCCCTTCAGAACGTTCAGACTGCAGGCTGAACAGACAGCACTCCCAACAGTCTCAGTCTGTCAGCTCGCTGACTTCTGACCTTTGCGACCACAGCAGCATCGACACTTCTGGTACCACTTCCTGCATGTCGGCGTGCAAACATGTGCGAGCACTTCTATAAACGGTGTTACGTCACAGATAAACCTGACTAACTCACCGTATCTTTGCAGGGTTTTTTTCTCAAGCCGTTTTCTGGTTTTACTCACAGCGAAGGACAAAATTAATCAGGAATGGCCTCTCAAACTCACTTTCTGTTTGTGTTTATCTCCCAGCTCCTGTCCTGCCCGGAGCATATCACCATCATCATCATCAGGGCGTCCAGATGCAGCAGCAACAGCAGTATCACGGCTACATGCACCAGACCAGCATGTCGTCTGTGAGATCGGTCACCTCGCCACCACACTCGGCCTCCACCGTACGTTTTTAGATGCTTCTTCCACTTTAAAACTTCAAATAATCAGAAATTTCTAAACAGGAAACTACAGCTGGGATTGTTTTCCTCGTTGTTATTTCTTTATTACTTCATATTATATTTTATTCATTAATTTATAATGATATTGTTAATTTAATTATATTATATTATATATATATATATATATATATTTTTTTATTTTTTTTATATTATTTAGAAAATAGGTTTTTCTCTTCTTTTAGTACAATGGCATTCTAGAGCCAGTAAAAAAATAAATAAAAATTAAAAGGAGCAGGTGGCAAAATTCACAGATACATCTCTGAAATGTCAACATTAATGTAAAACAAAAACTGGTAACTTCTCATGATAATAGTTCCTAAATTTGCACACGCAAAAAAATTAGAACTTTCTGTGATTAAATTTATAAATTTATGAGAATAAACGCTTCCAGGATTATAATGTTAAATTTACCTGTAAAAAAGTGGACGTTTATTGAAATTAGTAGGGGTGTAGCAATACATCGATTTAAATCGATATATCAATTAAATGATTAATGATTCAATTATATTGTGGCAAAACTAAAACATCAATTCATATCGTCATCTTAAAATACGCTTTGATTTTGAAATTCCCAAGGCACGTCTGTGTCACCATTTCCATGTGCAGCTGCGCTCTGAGGCCGCCTCAGCAACATGGCAGACGAGGCAGAAAACATGCATAATGAAATTCACTCTCCTGCTGGATTTAAATCATCCATCCATCCATCCATTGTCTTCCGCTTATTCCGAAATATTAAAATTAAGAGTTAAAGGACGGCTCAACAGACAAAACTCACGCCGTATGCAACAGGTGCCAGTGTGAGTTAAAATACTCGGGAAACACAATAAATTTGTCCGTTCACCTGAAGAAGAAACACGACGTTGATAGTCAAGCTCAATATCTGTTTTTGTTTCTTTATAACTGAAAGGTAATCAGGGCGCTTTTAAGTTAACTGGTTTAAAAAATGCACTTAAACATGAGAAATGAGAGACTATACTGAACAGGTCATTTATTTTTATTTTTTCATTAATTAACAAAAAAAATTGTTTTTTTATTTAAATGCCTGGTGCTTGTAATAACAGCAATAAAATGGTTAAATCATATTTGAATTGTTTTTATAAATTCATTTATATGTAAATGAGATGGGCATTTGATATCGCAATATATCCATCCCAGACTTGTGAGTCGAACAGAATTGAAATTGTATCGTGACAGACTTTGTGATATTGAGAAAAATCGTATCGTCACACAAACAAATCAATATAATATCGTATCGTATCGTATCGTGGTAAAGCTGGTGATTTACACCCTTAGACCAACCAACAAAGACATCGGACCTGTAACGAACTCCAAACACCTTCAAGTCTCGTAAATTTACTGCTCCTATCTTGGAGATCAGTGTGTCGTTTTTTTTTAAATAAATTGACACTTTGTCTTTTTTCTTACAAACGTTCTCATCAAACGTCTGAGTTTTCCTCTGGGGAATTTAAGGCTTTAATCCTGGAGGAGGTTGTGACTTATTTTCTCACAAATTTAGAACTTTCAAGCAGAAAAGGATATCCAAACTTTAAAAGTAATTTCAAGACATTAACGTCAGAATGTCTGAGTTATTTTTCTGCACTTTTTATTTATTTTTATTCTCAGAGACCCTTCAACACAGTCAAGCTTTTAGAGTTTTTGCTCCTGTTGAAGCAAATATTTTAACTCCTTAAGCTCAAATAAAGACCATTTGTGTTTCAGCGCGTTTACCGAGCGCTCTACGACTACGCGGCTCAGGACCACGACGAGGTGTCCTTCAGGGACGGCGATGTCATCGTCAACGCTCAGCCCATCGACGAGGGCTGGATGTACGGCACCGTGCAGAGAACTGGGAAGTCCGGGATGCTGCCAGCCAACTACGTGGAGTGCTGCAACTGAAGAGCCGAAACCCGGAGAGAACTACTTGGTGTGGATCCGGCAGACGTTTGGGATGTTCTTTGCATTTCACCAATCTTTTACCAACATGATGCTGGTTTACAAATTCAGAGACTTCTACTTCCTGTTGCTGTCAAAGGATCTCCTTTTTTATTTTTTTATTTTTTTTTTAAGCTGTAAGACTCCAGAAAACGCAAACCATCATCCTCCCACCGCCGTGCTTGACAGTAGGACGCATTGTTTCTGATCGGCTGTTAGTTTTATCTAAAGTCCTCAGAGCTAAAATAAAACTGGAGATTTGTTTAAAGAAGCATTTTTTTTTTGTACAAACTGACCGAAATGCCACAAACATCCCAGACGGCTGTGGTCGGGTCCGAATCCACAGGTTTGATGAAAAAGAGGCGAAATCAGTGAAGCTGAAATCGGAATAATTTAAGGAAGTCGTTTAATCGTCAGTAACAAAGTGAAGGAGGCCATTCAGTGGAAGTTTGAAGTCAAAGTCTGGTGATATTTTTAAATCTGCTGTTTATTGTTTTTTTTTGTTGTTTTTTTTTAAAAAAACTTTCTACAACAAATCAAATCAACTTTTTAGTGTTCTGAATGGATCCAGAAGTTTTAATATTTGAAAAGAACTTCATTTAGGATCTAGTTTAATAATGGAAACACTGATTTGGTCTTCATCACATTAAAGTTCAAAGTGATGTTGAATAATTCTGTTAAATTAGATTTATGTCAGTAAATGAAGACTGGAAGTGTTTTAATTTTCTTTTTAACATGTTTAAAGTTAGGCAGCACGGTGGTGCAACTGGTAGAGCTGCTGCCCCTCAGTGAGCAGGTCCCTGGTTCAAACCCCGGTCCAGGGGCCTTTCTGGGTGGAGTTTGCATGTTCTCTCCATGCATGCGTGGGTTTCCTCCGGGTACTCCGGTTTCCTCCCACAGACCAAAAACATGCATGTTAGACTGATTGGTAACTCTAAATTGTCCCTAGGTGTGAGTGAGAGAGTGAATGGTTGTTTGTCTCGTTTGTCTCTATGTGTCCCTGTGATGGACTGGAGACCCGTCCAGGGTGTACCCCGCCCCTCGCACAGTGATTGCTGGACATGGGCACCGGCGACCCACGTGACCCAAAATGGAATAAACGGGTAAAGAAAATGGATGGATGGATATATATATATATATATATATATATATATATATATATATATATATATATATATATATAAATAAACTACTACTTGTACTCACGGTTTCTCACTTATCGTGGGTCTTCAGGATACGGATCCCCTGCAATAAATGAGGGACTACTGTATTTCTATGCAGCATCGATCAGGAATAAAGTGAAAAATTAATTCTGGTGAATATCGGAGAAAAATTCAAAACAAAAAAATACCCAGTTCACTCTTGAAACATCTAGTCACTCTCTGTCTAGAGTTCGAGTAAAGCGATTATTTAAAATATGTTTTTAGACAGAAAAGGGAGTTTGGAGCGATAAACTAATGGTTTAATCTTTTTAAACAACAATTTAAAAAATCACCAGACTTTTACTTGAAAAAGCAAAACAACTTTTGTTTGTTTGTTTTCAGGAAGTTAAAAATGTGAAGGAAATGTGGACAAATTAAGAAACGAAAAACTGGAAAAGTTTTGTTTTGTTTGAAATGTAATGTAACCAAATGAAGGACTGAGGGGTGGAGGACAAATTATAATCAGTTTAATCCTGAGTTTGTGCCATGTTCAGGTGAGTTAAACTGACCCAGCTTTAGTTTTAAGCAGCACTAACTCACTGTGTTCTTGTTTTAATATTTTAAAGTTCTCATGTGCTGATAACTCACACAGAAACTGTTTTATGGACTAAAACCTGGACAAATGAGGTCGCAGCACATTTTGATACACGGGCTCTGTCTACATCATGGAAATACATGTTTTAATCCTGTATGTTTCCAGTAAGTTGTGTTTTTAAGGTTTATCGTGGGTTGCATCCAATATTTGTCGTTTAAGCTGGAAAAACATTGGTTACGTACTGTAACCCCAGATTCTATGAGTATAGGCGTAGCCCTTTAAGGCTGCTCGCTAGTGTGTTATCCCTTATGCGCTCAGCTTCACTGAAAAAACGTTAGTCCACGCCCACCTGCTGTGTGTGGGCCTCACCTGTCTGTATAAATTACGGTGAGACCAGGTAATCGGCTCCCAAAAAAGCTTTTTTCTTCAGCCATTCAGGAACCAGTGAGGCCCAGAGCTTAAAGGGCTAAAGGAAAAACACAGATCGGTAAAACCCTCCACTCTGGAGATGGAGGCAAAGGTGGAGACAGATGTCTTTAGCTTGCTGGCCCAGCTGCAGCCTCGTTCCAGTGTGACGTCACAGCTGGACAGCGAGGCATGGTGGGGTCAGGGCGATGAGTCGGGGCGGAGCCAGCCTTGCCGCCAGATCATCCGATCAGGGCGGAGGGAGGCGAGGGACGGAAAATCCCTTGTGTTAACATCCTCCTGGATTATGCCGGGCAGCTCCGAGAGGAGGGCGCCGATGGCTGGGAGCGGTGTGGTAGCCGACGTGGGAAGATCCGAGGTGGCTGAGCATCCACTCGGCCACTCATCTTCCATCACTACGCTCTCCAGCAGGGACGGGGCATCTCAGCATCGCCTTTCTCGGAGGAGTCATTTGATTCACTGCGTGACTGTGCGTCAAAGAAGGCGGTGGCGTCGTCCCGCGCATAACGTCCCGCCACAGAAAAAAAACACTCAGCGGAGCTGCTGCCAACAATGCCTTTTTGAGGGAATCATCCGATTTACCTAGAGAAAAAACACGTTAGAAAAGGTGGTGGCGTCGTCCAGCGAGTAGCAGCCCTCCATGGAAAACATTCAGCAGGGCTGCTGCTAACATCACCTTTTTGAGGAAATCATTCGATTACCGCGAGGACAAAACACGTTAGAAAAGGCTGTGGCGTCGTTCAGCGTGTAGCGGCCCGCCACGGAAAAAATATTCAGCGGGGCTGCTACTAACATCGCCTTTTTCGAGGAAATCATTCGATTACCGCAAGGAAAAAATACGTTAGAAAAGGCTGTGGCGTCATCCAGCGGGTAGCAGCCTGCCACGGAAAAGCACTCCTCAGCGCTTACCTTGAACAAGGCTGCTCGTCTGATTCTCCTTGGGGAGGAAGAGCTCACCGGGACGGCAGGAGGTTGGCGTGGCGGAGACCCAGGCATCCTTAGCAAAGGTTATGCCGGTCCAAGCTGGACAACTTTTCCTTCTTCGTTCTTCTGACAGTGCTAGCTAGCTGGCTGAAGAAAAAATGGGAGCCGATTACCCGGTCTCACCGTAGTTTATACGGACCGGGGGTGAGGCCCACACACAGCAGGTGGGCGTGGACTAAAGTTTTTTCAGTGTAGCGCTGAGCGCATAAGGGATAAACCCACTAGCGAGAAGCCTTAAAGGGCGAAGCCTATACGAAATAGAACTTTATTTTTTATGTTTGATTTACAGAAAAATAGACACAATAGAAATTGATTGAATATTTGTGTTTATTTTGGATAAAAAGCTCTCGGTGGTTTTAACATTTTGATTTGTAGCTCTTGCTTTTTGAGGATTAAAAAAAAAACATGTATTGTTTTCATTATAATCACTTTGATTTGAATGATTTTATCACCCAGTTTGTTATTTTGTCATAACTAGTGTTTCATGTGAGAGAAATAAAAGCAAATGAGCTGTAAAAGCGTAATGTTTATTTTTTTCCCACAATAAGATAAAATTAAGTTTATTCACACAAATGATTGCAAAGCAAACAAATACAATATCCTCAGATAGTTTTAATTTACAGTTTTCACTTTAAAGTGTTTATTTAAATAATTTTTAACTGGAAAGTTTACATTTCATATATTTAAAACATGTTATTGCTTTAGTTTTTGTGTCTTCACCATAAGTTAGCATAAATTCTACAAATTGCAAAATATTAAGCTTTAGTTGTATCACTTTGCAAACATTGAGCCTTAAATATTCATCCATCCATTATCTTTACCCGTTTATTCCATCTTGGGTCACGGGGGTCGCCGGTGCCCATGTCCAGCAATCACTGTGCGAGGGGCGGGGTACACCCTGGACGGGTCGCAAGTCCATCACAGGGACACATAGAGACAAACGAGACAAACAACCATTCACTTTCTCATGCACACCTAGGGACAATTTAGAGTTACCAATCAGCCTAACATGCATGTTTTTGGTCTGTGGGAGGAAACCGGAGCACCTTAAATATTCAAACAGCAAATTTTCATGGTCTCTGTTTTTAGTTTTCACTGAAGGTTGTAAAAAAAAAAAAATTCAATATTTTATTTAGAAAATTGGTGTTAATGTTAGTTTTTTTCTTGTTTAACAGACAAAATTAAAAAAACACAAATTATTTCCTGTTGTACTTTTTCTTTTATTCAAACAGTATTCAGCACAAATGTATTTCTTTTAAGAAAATTTTAATTATAATTTTGATTCAAAGTTTGTTTTGATAATGTCCTATTGCTTTCAAAACTACGGTGGCCGACGGGTGCAAACGCGCAGCAAACGGCGAAACACGCAGCTTGTTAGTATTTTGTGAATATAATATTACTGTACTGTATTTATGTCCACCAGCTGATGTGATGTTCAGTGTAACATGGTGTTCAGCTGCAATGAAGCTAACTGAGATCTGATGACAGGAATATTTTTCTAACAAGCATACTCACAATTTCTGTAGCTTTGGTTCATTATCAACAGATATGCATCAAAACTGGAGTTTTGTTTTAGTTCTAGGATAAAAAAATAAAAAAATAAATAATAACTAAATAAATAAATAAAAAAATAAATAATAACTAAATAAATAAAACTAGGGATAATAGGAAATAGAAAATAAGATTGACCTCCTTTGTACAATGTTTTTGTGTACACACAAATCTCCTGTTTTCATTGTGAAGGTTTCCCAAAGAACAAGATGTGAGGAAGAGGAGGAAGTATCTTTGAGGAGGATTCATCTGAGCAGTGAGGATTTTAAACTGGAGGATTTTGATCAAACTGATCAGACTGTCCGACTGAGAGATGGTGTGGTACCATTGGTTCATCTTCAAATATAGGAGCATCATTATAAGTTCATTAGAGTTCATAAATTTACATATTTTATTGTCAGTCACAAGGTGAGACACCTCCATGTGTTTATATGAACAGGTAACTAGAGACTGTAAAGTTCATATTCATGATGTTTTTTCATTTCAGCTTGAAACTGCAGAACTACAGGAACTGAACAAAAGCTGGAGCTGCTCTGTCTGTGGCCTCTCAGGAACGTGCACGTCACACACACACTCTCAGGAACGTGCACGTCACACACACAACCTCGGTCTCATGATGTGAGTATTTCTATTTTAAACTTTTATTTTTTCATTTAGCCTTTATTTATCCAGGTAGTCTCATTGAGTCACGAGAACTCGTTTTCTAGAGAGACCTGTTTAGGAGCAGATGGTGGGGGTTAAGGGCATTGCTCAGGGGACCAGGGTGGGGCCAATGAGGGTGGAGGCAGGTGTGGGTGTTACACCTTTTCCACCTCATTTTGATGTTGACGGTACCGGGAGTTGAACCTGCGACTTTCCGATCACAGGCCCATCTTCTAACCTCTGCTCCACCACTCCCCCACATAACATCATATCATAATGGTCATGGTCATATTAAAATCTCACTGGTTTCCTTCCAGATGTGTTAAACAGCTACTGGTCCCCCTGATGTTTCCAGGTGGCTGTGGTCAGTGGATGAAAAGCCTGGCATGAACAAGATGATGCTGGAGATCATCATTTGACGAGAGCTCCCACCTTCTAACTGTGAAGAACAAGAGCAGCTCAGTGAAGGTGCTGAGAGCTGCAGAGAGGCTGATCCATGGAGCTTCAACACAGCAACCTCCAAACATGTCCACCCTCACACACATCGTCCATGAAGACACTGGACCAGAGCACAAGATAATAAGACACTGATAACAACGACAACAACAGACATTCACAAATGATTCATACAATTTTAAGTTTTTTTAATTGTTTGTTTGTTTTACAATTGAAAAACAGTTTGTTATCCACTGTTGTCATCACTCTTTGTTAAAATCCAGGTCTCTCTTGTAAATGAGTCCTATTGGCTCAATGGAACTAACCTGTATCAACAAAGGTTGAATGAATATATATACATACATAATGATTTATTCAACCTTTTATTTATACAGGTTGGCTTCATTGAGCCACAAAGACTCGTTTACAAGAGACCTGCTCCAGACAGAACATATAAAGTACAGACAAGAATAAATGTAAACAATGACAAAAATAAACTACAGTAAAAATAATAGAGATGATATATACATATATATACACACACATATATATATATATATATATATATATATA